TAAAGATTTGTTCGTGGTTATTCAAGAACATCTCAACCATGCTTTAGACAAGTCTAAACTTTGTTTTGAGGGACATGGCACTCTTTTTGAAAGGCCAGCAGAGGGCACTGTTGCTTAATTCAAAAGAGGAAGGGTGGTAAGGGTTAAGTTGTAACTGGACGGCCTTGCTTTGCTCTTTTTCCTTGTCAAAACATTTCTTTTGACATCTGCTTTGCTCTTTCCTTAATTTATTCGTTCTGCTACTTTGCCACTTGGAGTTGAGTTCTCAATGTTCTTGTAATGTGTTCTTTCATGTAAAAAAACCTCTGTGTCATTTGTCTTGCTTATAACCCTTAACCTTGAGTGGCTTTTAGCTTTGTTTTGGGCGACTCAAATTAGAACTTTTCTAAACAAGATTTTAAAAAGTTACCTGTAAGCTTTTCGGCCATTTTTGTCATGGGTCATCTGAGGAGGGTCTGGGGGAGACATCATGAGATATCCAGCTGGCGTAATTAGATATCCAGGGTTCGGAAAGTCATGATCCCAGTAATTGGGTGTGTCATTGGAGGGAAAGATATGTGTAATGGTACATCTCCTGTGTACTGCTGTTGTGGCTGAACTAATGCATAATTTGTTTTTGTTGTCAACTGAAATCGTAAGCGATGATGGTGATGTTCTGCTACATGCCTCCAGGGCATATTTCACTCGGGCTGAGTAATAATGTTCATTATCATTAGGATTTCGCCTGGAGTTGATCTTTTATTAAAACTTTTTATTATTCATTTGTCACGGGTCAGGACAGGGCAGTGCAGTTTCGCACTTCGTTGTGGTGAGTCCGCCAGTGTTTTATGACCGGATGCTCCAAGGGAAACAGGCAACAGACCAGAAATAATCAATCGTCAGTCACACCAGTATTCAGTTTTAACTTCACTGTAATATTTGTTAACTTATCTCCAGATCACAAAAAAAAGATGACAAGGTTACCCCAATAAGGTTCCAATACAAAAGACAATTCCCCAAAGATAGGTTCCTCTAATAAATTCCCCGGACTTAGTAAATTCCTAATCTAAATTCCCCAGACTTAGTAAATTCCTAATCTAAATTCCCCGGACGCCGGTCGGGACCGCCCTCGCTCTACCATGGAGGAAGGAACACACAGTGGCATTCGGTGTCAGCCAGAAAAGGAGCGAGCGTTCGTCCGGCGTACGCGGAAGACACGTTTCCTTGTAATATTCATACGCTTTTTAAAGACTGTAAAGTTATTAATATATTGCAGTTTCATGTGCAAAGCTGATATAAAACACATTAAGGGGATTGCCATAACCTTGTACTTTCTGATCGTGATATTTTCAGTCCATTTACAAATTTCAAATGCAAATAATGTGTAAAAATGTCAAACACTGGCATTGAACTCAGCCCACACTATTGGTTAATTCATAAAGACCAGGAAGACATTAGGTTATTACAGTGACATATGCAAAACTGATTTAAAACACAGTGAAGGGATTGCCATCAAGGGATATTTGCCGATCATTCCAGCCCATTTACATGAAAATGTGTGAATATGTGATATACTGTAACATTTATTCACTTAGCTCAGAATGTGATTAAATCATTTTCCTACCATACAAAAGTTGATTTCAAAATCAAGTGTTTCTCCCCTGTCCGATGTTGAATATATTTAGAGTTTACGACATTTAGCATTCACACTGTCTCTAAGCTGACGAAGTTCTGCTCCAGATGAACATCCAGGGTACTCCTTTTCTACTTGACACAACAGGGCCTTAAATTTATCCTCTCTGCTAAGGGCTAGTTTAACAACAGGTCCCGATTTACTTGGAGCGACACCACCGTTATATGAGCGCTGGAACAGTTCCTCCCTGGAGTAGAAGATTGGTAGCAGCTTTAGCAGGAGCGCACTACCACTGGTGCTCTTGAAGAATACGTCTTCATAGACCCACTTTTCGATGGCAAGGGTTGCTATATCTGGATCACCGATGGTCACGATTCTGCTGTTGGAGTCAGGTGAGATGTAGGATGGATGCCGGCGGCTTTCTCTGCACAGAACAGGATTAGGAACTAAATTGTTCGCAAGAAGTGCAGCTGTTAGGGCCAAAATATTGTCCTTGAATAACTCACTAAATGAGGAGAACTCTTGGGAGAGTTTTGCCAAGTCGGATTTGACCGACTGAACCTCCATCATGAGCATTTTCTGGTTTGCCTTTATCTCCTGTAGCTCATCAGTCGGTGAGAAAGTCACTTGTTACTGATGTATCTGCTCCAGCCGGCTTCAGGGAGGGAGGCGGAGGTGACATAGCAGATGGAGA